AATTTGGCACCATCGTAATCAGCTGTAATGTGTCGACTGAACCATGCTGTGTAGCTTCGGTGGTGGACTTCCTGAGTGCACTCTGCTCTGTGTTCTACAGTTGCATTTTTTTCAATTATTGCAGTAGCTATTTTAAGGAAAACATAATTGTCTATTTTTGAAAATACATTTGAGATGAAAAAGACATAGGTATTCAGTGCCGTTTGAAGCTTTCAGTTCTGGTTTAGAAGGACCAGAATTCTACTTAGCAGATTTCCAGCATGCCTTGTAGTAACACCTTAATGCCCCAGTATAGTGACAATCATTTAATTGACAATGTAAAAGGTTTTTAAGTTGTAAGTAAAGTTCATTGTCCTATCCTAAAGCATGTTGTGATTGGAAAGCTGACAGAAAAACAGTCATTTGGGGAGGTGAGCATCCTTTCAGAGCAGCCCTCTACCTGCACTATCATCACGGCAACAGAGGTGGAGCTAGGAGTCATCCAGCCAGAAGCTTTAAAAGGTAACATTTTCTCTGATCTCTCAAAAGTCTCTTTAATTATTCCCTATTTATTATACATTTGAAAAAATGAGAATGAGATTTTTAACTCAAGATTCCTTTCATATAATTTCCATAAACTTTATTTCTTGTGAAGAAATATTTGTTTTCTAAGCACACAATACAAAAATGAAAATACCCATTCTCCACCCCACACACACGGAACCCCCATGTAACAAAGCTTTGACTGCACTGGGAGCAGAACTTCAGGACCCCACTGTCCTCCCACAACGGAACCTAGCAGTCAGAAGTTCCAAATGAGTTATATCAAGACACGCCAGGTGTAGTGATGTCAGCAGAGGGGCTGAGAGGCTCTGGACACAGCACCAGCAACCTCCCTTAGTGATCTCACTCCTGCAAAAACTGTCTGTGCTGGGTTGTTGCAGGACTGTAATCAGGGCAGAAATGTAGCACTGATCCCTCTACTGAGTGAGCAGGGCCAAAAAATACTGTGTTTGTGTGCTGGAGACACCCCTGAAGATGGAAATATGATGTCCCAGATGTGAATATGTGATAATTTCAAGCTTTATTAAGGAATCCAGTCAGGGATTTCTGTTTGGATCCCTCCAGGAAGACAACAGTTCGACAGTTTATTTAATCTTGACCTTCATGCTTGATTAATTTTTGTGCTATATTTTCCAAATTAGCTGTGTGTTTTAATATTTTTTTGATTGTGCATGTTGCTCATCTGAAATGTAGTCCAATTTAAAGTCAGTTTTGACTTGCTGAATAGATATTTTCTATCTCTGCTGTAGTCAGAGGGGTCTCCACTGCCACAGCCATTCTCAGATGCTGCGCTTGCTGATCCACAGATTGCTGTAGCACATCGGCCATTTCAAACCCATTTATCCTCTTTTTTAGTTTCTGTTTGTGGGAACCGAGACAAGAGTCCAGTTTCCTTCACACTCCACCCCACAGTCCCTTCAGAAATGAAACTCATTATACAAAAATAAAGAAGTCACTTAAAAAGATTGTGTCTGAGTCTGTGGCAGGGCCTTAATTTTGGGCTGACATACCAGAATTCTGCTCAAGCAACTTTCATGAATTGTTTCCATATACTTGTCTTGTGTGTTGTTTCACCCAGGTCTTGATAAAGTGACACGATCACTGATGCTACAGACAGCACAACCTACATATGGAAAACTATCTCAGGTAAGGGAAATTACACATACTTTATATTTCAACACGCTTATATATATATAATTCATTTATAATATATTTTATAGAGAATTTCACAAAGCTTTTCAACCACGAGTTGGACAAAGACTGAAGAGTGTGCAATGCCTGTATTCCTGTGAACCCACATTTGTTGCTCTGATTCCCTTCAAATGAGTGGATTAATCATCTGACTAAGATATTTAAATACTGAGAGAATTTACCAGTCAGGAAAAATTATAAACAGTAAAGATGTTAGCCTGAATTTATTTATTTTTAAATGAGGACAATAATCCATAATACAGATGTTGGGAGAGTTTTTCATTAACATGATAGAACCCTCTCCTGCAATTCCTGCACATCTAGTTTACTGGTTTTCATTATCTTCTGAATATTTTATATATATAAAGTATGTTTTATCCCAACAGCATGTTTTATTACAAGGTCTGTGTAATCACAAACATTGGGTTGAATGAAGCTATGAAAAAGTAGTATTTTAGGTATTTGGTATTTTGCAACAGCATTGATTTAAGAAACCCCTCTCTTGATATATACAGTATTACATATGTAATAGTTTCATATTACCAAAAACAATAAAAAGCTGATGTAATACACTCTTTCTGTGTCTTTGGCTAAATATAATCTGCTCAAGACACTAATAAATAAGGTTTGTGGTCTTCATTAAACATTTTAAAGTTTTCCTCAATCTTCAGAAGGATTTTGAAGCCGTTATAAGCACTCTCGCATGTGTTCATTGCATTCTGTATCTCAAAAATACTGAAAGGAGAAAACAGAAGGAAAGCACAGCTGGTTCACCAGGCCAGTGAGTACAGAACCTTGGAATTAATATTTGCAGGAGTGTGAGAGCTTCAGGGTTCTCTGTATTCAGGCAAAAAAACACTGTTTGTTTCCTTTGCTAGTGATATCCCCCAGGGGGTGATTCCATGCTGTTGTTACTTGAGCTCTTCCCATGGTGTAATAAGGAGCCGAGTCATATGTTCTAAACCGTGAAGCTATGGAAATCGCCTGACTCTGCACCCAGGCCCCTTCTTCTCTGGCTTTATTTGCACCACCACACCCACCTCCTTCATTACATTAGAATAATTACTTTCCCATAGATTCCCTACAGGTTTCTCCACTCTTTTCAGTGTAAATGGGAGTTTTTTTAATAAATGTACAAATGTATAACATGTACAGCAATTACTCTGTACAGCAATTTGACACTGGGTGATAAAAAGTGAAGTTTAGCAGGCGGTATGGTGGTGCAGTTGTATTGCTGCCTCACAGCCCTGGAGCCATGGGTTCTATTCCAGACCTTGGGTGCTGTCTGCATGTAGTTTGTATTTTCACCCTGTGAACCTGTATGTTTTTGCTGCAGTTGTGCTGCTCCACTTTCCTTCTACACTCCAAAGACATACAGGACTGGTAGGTCAATTGGCTTCTGGGAAAACTGGCCCTGGTGTGAGTGTGTGTCCATGTCTGTTTTTGTGTGCTGTCTACGACATCCCGCAAAGATATCCCATCTCGCATCCCGCCTTGTGCTCGTTGCTTTCTGGGATAGGCTTCATCTCACTGGTGACAGTTAATTGACTGAAGTGGTTAGAAAATGGATTGATAGATAGTGAAATTTAGAAGGTATATGTGTTTTTTTTTTAACATTTTGACTAAATGCAGATATGCAAGCATAACCAAAGTATACAAAGTACTGCACTAAGTTTCTTTTCATTATTTACAACATTTAAAAACATTGCGATAGAGCTCAATATAACATACATTGAAGTCCTTTCACATTTGTAATATTCATTTGTTTTAATTTGGACACTGAGAACTGCTTTCAGATAAAACAATTCATTTTGTAAAACAAGAATTAAAATCTCATGATGATCACATAATAAGTTACTTAAAGTTACATATAAAAAATGAGGTAAGTAGAATGCTAAATATATTTTAATATATTGGCTCTTTCACTACTCTATTCCCACAGGAGGAGATTAACAAGGAGTATCTGAGACGAGAGAAGCAGAAAAAATGGGAGCACATTAAGGTATAGTGGATACATCTAGTTAACAGGCTTTCAACAACTTTCTGTCCAATTTTCAGTGCAGACTGAGTCATAGTAGTCTGGATGTAATGCCACCATGAGTTTAGGACTGAGAGAAGTGCCAATAACCAACCATGACTTAGATTTATCAAACAGTAGTGCACAGTTGGTAGAGCAGAGTCCTGTCCTTGCTGCACAATGGTGACCTTTGACTTGCTAGATTCCTGTGAGCTTGGAAGCATAAGCAGGTTCACCTCTTGTGTAGAATGGGAAAAATAGTGGATGGCTCTGACTAATATGCTTTTCAGGAGGAAATCTCACATTACATATGTGCTTCATGCTATATACTGTATATGTGCTGTAGGTTTACAGCAGTCATGCCGAGCTGAGTACCACTTAGTAATTCTGAATAGGTGGTGGAGAGAGGGTATCAAAATAATTAATTAATAATTAAATATTGGTAAAAAAAATATACAAGTACAAAGTATACTATCTAGTACAATACATAAACTATCTTTTATTAATTTAGTAGTGATTCAACACTGCTAACCCATAGCTCCAGGGTCCTGGCTTCAATTCTGTCCTTCACCATCTCTCTGTGGGTTGTTTACATTTCCACATGTTTTTTTTTTCGTTCTGGGTGCTCTGGATTCGTCCCTCTCAAGACCTGCAGGCAAGGTTTAATTGGATACTTTAGAGTGTCAGCCCAGGGTTTGATCCCTGGTCTCTGATCCTTGGTCCCTGGAGTGGCTGGGCTCCCTGCCTCATCACTTGGCCATAAGCAGAGTGGGCTCTTTTACCAGTTCTTTCTATACAGGCATTCAGAGGTTCAGTTATGAAACATGAAATATATGTATCTAATAATCTACATTGTGTATGAATGATGACTTTTTGGGGTGACCTTCTTTGATGTATTGTACTATCTTAATGATGGTGATGTAGCACAAAACATAAAATGTTGACATAGTAGTCTGGATGTAATGCCATGGGAAATGAAATATGCAGAGATGAAGGTTTGATACTTTCCCGAACTGTCTAAATGCCTTAAACACAGCAAGGTAAGTCAAGCTGAAGGAAAGACTGCTGAAGTACAGGGGACCTTCACTGAATATAGTTGAATATGCACATCTCAGAAGTGATACTCAGCTGCAGATGGAGCGTGCTGATTTCAGTGGTTTTCCTTTTATAGCTCTTGTTCATCAGGTGATAACAGTTTTTCAGAACTATCCCTAACACAAAGATAAACTCTTATGAAGGTAAAAAAGTATTGAGAAAAAAGTCCTTGTTCCTAGTAACATTTAGATATTTTAACGTTTGATGTATCAGAATGAATTTTAATAAGAGGCCCCCTTCTCTCAGGCAAAAGTAGTTGTGTATTAAAGTAGGTCTATAATAAAAATCCATCTCCATAGAGAAAAAACTAGTGGTTAAAGAATTTTCAGTAATTTTATTTAAAGATACAGGGTTTCTTAGTGTGGACAGAAGGTCAGCGATATGTTTCCACGGCCTGTTGGATTATACATGTACTGTAATTACATATAAGAGCATCACTTAGAAATGAAGAGATTCACCTTTCACCATTCCTGAAGAGAGTTCAGGTAATATCTATTGCAAACCAACTTTCCTTATACTCCACCAGATGTTATCTCTTCATCTTAAGGAAGAAGAGTTAATGAATGAATTAATAAACACATCTTTATGTGTTTAATCAGCACACATTATAAACACTGCTTCTGTTAAAAATTTAGACAGGCTTACTCTGCAGAATGGTTGATTGGTAAAGTCTAGGATTTAGTGTTAAATACATGTTTATTAAATGGAAAGATTTAATTGAATACAATGTGACAAAAACTGATTCTTGAATGCTTGTGTCCCAGTAATGTATTATTCATTTTTATAATTTGCTTTTCTGTGTTTACATTTCCATGTAAACTATTCTATTGGTCATAAATAAAATTAGTCCTTAAAGTTAAACAGTGAGCTATTATAATATTTGATTTCTGTTCAGTGAGTCAGCTGACAGTTGTCACTTGAGCAGTGTAAGTAATCAGCTACAGAATACATGAATTACAAATGTGGAATACAAATCCAGTTCTCAGCGAGAAAAGGTCATGTAGCTGTAGTGTTAATGATGTCTTCCACTTTGCAGTCATCAGATGGCATTTTTTTGGATTTTATGTTAAAGTATATGGCTACTTTCACTTGATTCTGTGTACCTGTTCTATGGGAGTAAGACAACTGGTTTGAAAGAGCAAGACCCTTTTCCTGTATGTGATGCAGAAAGACTTTTTTGTTAGTTAAGTTCTGTCCCTGTCTGATATACAGAATGATCCTAATGTTTTCCTCACATTAATCTAACACTCAACTCTTGGTCTCTGAAAGTCTGGTGACACAATACTCACCTGGAGAACGCTGCTTGTTTCTGGAAAGGTTAAGAGACACTCCAGATATTATGTACTTCTTAAGGTAGGTGTCTGTGTATACACTATTTAATTTTTGATATGGTTGCATGTGTATTTTGTAGTCTCTCATGTTTCTTGTATCCTGTTTTGTATTGTGTATCATGTCTTAATAAACAACACTTCACGTACAAGCATTGTCTGAAAACCAGTCTCTCAGGTGACTGCAAGGAAGTGCAGAGAGACAGCTAATTAGCCTGGTAGAGTGCTGTGAAAGCAGTGAGTAGTTGTTTGTCCTGGGCCCTGAGCAACAGAGATAAACAATGAATTCTATTTCTGCAAGCTCACAATGTTTGAGATGACACATCACCCATCAGTTCTCTCTTTCCGAGTTCTCTGCATTCCCCATTCCTCCGTTCTTTATACTGTAACATAGTTATGTCAGCATGAAAGAAAAAATAAATTTCCCAATTCAATAAAGATTGATTGACTAATTTTACTTAAACATGTTGTGGCATGAGCTTATGGAGCCTTTAAAAACACTGGTGTACAGAATAGAGAATGAACTTTTAATACCTTTAACTAATGCACAGACTAATCCTGGAATTAATTGATAAACTTTGAGGAAGCAAATGGAGGATTAAGTGAGTGTCCTAGTTGTCTGGTTATTCTGGTGTGAACACTGTACTACTCATTACCTTCTCCCATAACCAGGGCAACATGGAGTTCCACCCCCAGTTATTCTTAACTCCTCCGTGGAACAGACAGCCAACCAAAACCTCAGTGTGTCTTCCTACCAAATATCTAGTGGGGAAATGGCCACCTCTATAATATATTTAATCAATGTGTTAAATATACCTATATATTGCTACTGTATATAAATAGTTTTTTTTTAATAACTCTTTTATTTTGCTTTGGACATCATAAGTAAAGTTGTGATTTTTAACACTAAAATTGTAAAGAATATGTATATTTGGAAAGATTAAAGAAAAAAGAAACAACCGTTATTAATGTTGATATGTCTGAGTCTTCACTAAGGAGAAGAACTCAGACAACAATAAGGAAGACAAACATGTTATTTGTTGACTGCCTCAGTGCATTCCTCAGATCGATGTAGTATTCACATCTCCAGGAGCCTCGGAGCAGAATATAGCTTTGCCATCTGTCAGCTCCTCTTTTCATTAGCACTGCTCTTTCCCTGCTGTGTCAGTGCACTCTTTAACCCTTCCAGTCCTCTCACCTTTTCCGCTGAGACTCCTTTTGTTGGCCAGCTACTGAGCACCTTCGCATTCCATTCCCGGATCTGGGCTGTGTATGTCCTACCCTGAAGATAATTCAGATCAGGCTTGATGTTTTAGGCTTTCTTATTTGTCTAAAAAAAAAACTGGAGATAGTTACACATTAATTTGCAACATCAGGATGAGTTGAATGGATTTGAATCCACTACAAGAAAACATTGCACACATTTAGATACCAAGTTTAGTTATGCCATAAAGAATTGAAGGATAAATCTGGGAGAATCACATATTAATTTCCTGAAAATGTGCGAACACTTTAGAAATGCAATATACTGTATGTATACAGTATATATATTTTTATCACCAGTTATTATGAATTATGCGTCTTTAAATGATGAGTTTGATGTATTTCCTTGAATATGTCCTGATTATGACAAGAGGTTATGAAATGCATTCCTCAGTACATCCAAAACAGAAAGCTGCAAAACGAGCGGCAGCAAACATTTCAACACATAATAACTATTTGTCAAATATCTCTGATTCCTTTTTTAAATTAATCTTGAAAGAGTTTTGCTTTGAAAGTTCATTGACTACTTTTTGCTTCACAGATTTGTCTTTATATCTATGTGGGCTGGCAAACTCTATACATTATGTGCACTTCTTTACTTACAAATAAGGATTTTGGCCCTAGGGATAGAGAATGCTGTCTGTGTTTGTTTTTCTCCTTGGTTGTCTCCTTTCTTTAAAACAGAAAATACCACATGGATTATGCATCTAGCCCAAGTTTAATTATAGAAGACAAAGACTCCGCTTGTAATTATGGTGTTACTATTTGTGGAAGATTTTAAGCACAAGCTTGAGAAAGTCTGCCCTTGGTCATTTGCTCGAAGGAATGCTGTAACATTCAGGACTGATGTAGGGTGTGACAGACAAGAAAACATGCCTAACTATATGAAAAAATTCTCCACATTCTGTGGTAAGGTGTTGTGACCCCTTCAGTGTTGAAGTGCCAAAACTGATGCCTCTCTGTCTGCATCTCCAAGAGGAAGGGACATCTGCACACACCTGTCATAAATCCACTTACAGGACCAGAATGATCCACCAGGAACATGCCATGTGGGAATGTTCACTACACCTGATGATGTCACAACTAATTACCACCTGTGACAATGTAAAAGTCATTGCACAAGCAGTTTGTGCAGTTCTGGCTATTTGACATTGAATTGATCATGTGACTGAGACCATTCCTTGGCAACAGGAGACATTCTGTGTTAATCTCCCAGTTGTGATTTTGACTGATTTTACTGACATAATGCATTTAGACATTTGTCAATGCCACTGGATATCAACTAAAATTCAGCATAGCAACAGCAAAATACAGGCAAACAGACTTCTTAGGTTTCTTCCCATTTAAGCCTCACTTGTGGCTGTTTCCCATGTGCCCTGTGATGTAGTTGTTTCTCTCCTTGTGGGACTTTTAATGCCTCATCAGAACTGTGTTTGGTCAAACATGTCAAATTCCTGTGAGTATACAGTATATCGGAAGTTTGCATATTAGCACTTAAATTAAATTAAACTAAAACTTAAACTTTTATTCCAAACAAGTAATTGTTTGATAAAGATAAATTCAGGAAAGCTATTTAATATTTACTTGTGTTTTAGATAGATACTTTATTGATCCCATGAGGGAAATTGCAGAAAGTGTTTTGAGTTTTTATAAAGGTTGATGAGGTTGACTACACTAACCTGAGTATTACAGCCAATGTGATTAGCCCTGTATTTGTAATATCTCTTACAATCTCTCAGTCTTTTGTGTGTATCATGGCTGATTAAGCCTTATATAATCTAGTATTGATTGTCACATTTTATTGTTGTATTATAAAAATTTTATATTGTATTCCTTGAATCTCTCTGTACATTGCTGTTTATTCCGATTGGTTGATTCCCAGTAGTCATAAGGTACTCTCTGAATTTAATGTCCCAGTTTCTAATTAAGTACTGTAAATTAAATCAAATATCTTAAGTCCTCAGCTCAAAGCAGCCTGTGATTAAGCAGCAAATTAAACAAATTATATACAAATGCAATTAAGATGTACAGTATGTAGTTTACCTGTCCTCTTGGAATTAATGATCCTTAGATGTTTTGTGTGATGAATGCAGCCTAGTAAATGTCTGATAGCAGAGTCAGATGGTCTGTCTCTTAATTTGATATCTGTCCTGCTGAATTCTGTATAGAAGTTCTAGAGACGGTAGGGTTGGTTGCCCTACTGTCAGTTCTAATTTGTCCTTTTTCTTTGGTATGAATGAGGAAATTCCAAACTTTTTCAGCCATGTTACTGAAACTTAATTGCAATATGCCATCTCTGAGATGTTTGCTTCTACAGTACCTTTCAGCCATTTGGTTGATGTATATCTGTTACTTAACAACCTGCTAGGTTTTCTGAGGAATATCCTGAATTTACTAAAACCTTTTAACGTTTTGTGAGTGAGCAGTTTAAAATTCATGTTTTTATTTAATTTAATTCTAAACAGGCATGTTTCATCATGTCTTTTTATTGGTCATTTAACTGCTGTGGTGGTACATTCAGTATTTAGTTCAACCTACTATAGTTTATAACTGAATATGCAATCCTTTTAGAATTCCATGGCTGAGCAGCTGAAGTATTTATTCTAGTTTTTATTGTTGCTGCATGGTGGAATTAAAATGACACTTCTTTCATTGTATTATATGAAGCTTTTTCTTCTAAGACAGACCAAACAGACCCCCCTTGTACAGGGTATGTACAGTATGTGGATTTAACTTTTATTACTTGCATGATTTGATTCAAGAGTTCCATTTTGTTTAATCTTATCAATTGACATCAAACAAAGGTAGCTTTAGAGTAGTCTCATCTCTTGGTGGTATAATGTGCATGGAAACAGTTTTCCAGTTAATTTTGGTTCATGAAAACTAGAAGGTTTTGAATGACTTAGACAAGTCTCTCAGTTGGGTCTTAGCAAAAGTCTCATTGCACTGCCTGGCTGAGTCGCCCTGCCTCCCTGTTATTCACCAGAGGTCTTTAGTTCAGGTGTGTAGTCTAATGGCTGAAGCATCTTTAGTGTCTTACACAGAGGGTATGGAGTGTCACTGGCCTGTGCCTCTGTGTCTTAAGGATCTCTGGGACATCCTTTGTGAGACACTCTAGAGAAATGTGTTTGAATTAATATTACGTAAATTTGCATTAATTTATGGTCTCATTGGAATTGTTACATTTTTTAATTTAATATTTATATATTATTATAGTTTAACTAAATATTTCAGCAGATACAAGCACTACTTGTACAGGTAAGTAGACAAATTGTAACATTATAACAATAAGAACAGAAATATGCACATTTGTGTGTATGCAGACAGAGAGCAAATGCTCCAATGTGCTCAGAAGAATTTGCAGCTAATATAATATGACTCAATTTCATCCTCAGCAATATAGATGATTCTTCTGGTACAACAGCCTGGGTGATCTCTTGAATTAATCAATGACATTTGAATACACAGCATGCCAGTGAATCATTGAACCTAGAAGAAAATAAAGTCAAATGTGGGATGGATTTTATTGTAATTATCACATTTTTTTCAAAAATGGATCTCATAAAGGCATTAGAAAGTTACCTTGGTCATGCAGTCCTTGCTACAGTAATACCAATGGAGCAGGTTTCCTTCATTTGAGAGTGTGCATAAAAATCAGCATTAAATGAAAACTATGGTATGATCATTGTTCATGTGCAAATCACGTAATAACTGCAGCTGGTCTCTTCTTCTTAGATTTGGAAGATGTGATTCATTTTCGCCTCAGTAATATTCGAGTTGCTTTTAGTTTCAGCAAATTTGTGAATGTTAATAAAGTGCATTTATATGATACTTATATTTATAGGCATATTGAGTATACAGTATGTGCTTTATATATTACTGCAAAATATATAAAGTGTGCTACATGGTTTTATTATTTCTACCTTTGCACCTTTTCAGTTATAAAATAGCAATACACAGCAGGGGCCCTGAAGGTTCAATTGTAATATAAAAAGACGCTTCTCAATTTCAGAATGTGTGTGGCTGATGTCTTTCTTATAGGACTTATAGGACTACCCGGAGAGACATGTACAACACAAGAAAAAAATGCCCATAGAAATACCTTAACATGGAATTCTGGGAAAACAAAGAGCCATTCATTAAGGACACTTTCATTTTAATAAGAATACAATTTCATCATATGAATGATTCTGATTTTTTAGAAGTTTTTTTTCTTCTCTCCTCTCAGCGCACAGTGGTTGCAGAGGCCCTGTTTTACAATGGAATCATGCCTGGCACTGGGAAGTGGTCTCCACGCAGGGGTGGAAGACAACATGACCGAAACGCCTGTCATTCACAGTCTCAGTAAATACATGAGCTATACATGAGCATCATAAATGAATATGGAGATGTTTTTTCTTTCCATCTCTTTTCCACCAAATGCACTGACAGTTTGAGTTTGACAGAACGCCATCACCTAAACCTTCATCAGAACCCAGGAAAAGTATTGCCTGAGTTCTGATCTTTGTGCTTTTCCTTGCAAGCAAACCTCCGTCTGTTTTCTTCACTGCATTGTGAAAATTAAACATAAAAAACTTTAACACAATGTAATTATTCTCAATTAGCCAGCTTGCTGTGCTTCCTAATGTCATGCTGGAAACTCAAAGGAAGGAAATCTCTTTCAGAACACAAAATAACCTCACAATTAGCCTATTTACTCCAGCTAATGACAATCCTAAAATACTGAGATAACAAGAAGGGTGGTTAATAAAAAAACTAACCTCCTGCTGGATTAAAGTGTCAGCTTCTCAGGACAGCCAGCTAGGGGAATACCCTTTTCTAATCATAACTGTGTAGTGTTGTTTTGTATTACTGTCTAGTGTCTTTTGGAAAGCAAAATCCCTAGTTCTCCACAAGCTTTGGTTTCTTCCCGTCTCTGAATCTTCAGACTGGTTTCTTTGATTGATCCCAGAGGATGAGGCTTCTTTAGTTCCCTTTGCAGCATATACTGTCGTCTTAAAAAGGAAAGTGCATCAAGCCTTGCATGATGGTGAATCTTTCATGAGGGCTTGAATAATTTATTGATAAGGAATCACACTGCAAATGCCCAAATTCAATCAACATTTTATGAAAAGATCGAATTCTCTTCTCTCTGTTGTGCAGGACATCCCATAGAATTACATTAATTTCCTGCACATTATTTGTTTAGTTTTACTCAACATGAGACCTCTCACTGGATTTTTTCCACCCTGTAGCAAAGTAGCCCTCTGTTTTCTCCATAAAAGAATACACACAACAAAGAAACTGTTCACAAGAAAACACAGAATCATCAGAAAACACAGAATCAAACTCTCCAACTCTGGTTTTATTTTCTGTTCTTCTGTTCAGAACTTTGCTATGAACCACAGGCTCATTCACTTTTTTCTTTTAAAACCTTGCAGACAAAACTACATTTATTACAATTGGGAACTGCTAACTGTTAATGAACTCTACAACTTCACTGCTGTGCTGGCACAGTGACATGAAAATTGAAGACAGTGGTGTCAAACACCTGACTTCTTCTCTGTGAGCACACAGTGTCAGCAGCAGAGCAAAGTCTGGGGGGAGGTCAGATGCAGCTTTCACTGATGACACTCACTAGCAACAAGCTGGCTACAGGGGCACTGTTGTACAGCACATCAGGTTTTCTAACTTTCAAGGGTTTAAGAACCCTAATTTACTTACAGTACTTAAAAATCCCAATATATGTTATTTATGCATTATGTTCCATGATTATCATTTGCATTTAGTTGTACATTTTATTTACATTTTAAAGCATTTTAAAGCCTAGAGCAAGCTGTACTTAAACTCCAAACAAAAACCAAATTAAAAATATAATGATAATCCTGCTTCAGAAGTTTAATAAAGTGAGAACAGTACAGTGATTAATAACTTTCAATCTTCTTTGGTAACTCTCTACCCTCTGCCTACTTTCCCTATGAATTTTAAAAAGGCTTCCATAACCCTTTACCTTAAAACTCTTCCATGGAACTGTCTTCCTGTTTTCATCCATGTTTTACTGCTACAATACAGGGTCATGGAGCATATTGTGGAAAGAAACAGGCATAAGGTGGGATACATCCTGGCCAGTCCATCACAGTACACAAATAGGCATGCACACACTCACACTCAGTTTTCCCAGAAGCCAGTAGGCTTACTAATATGTCTTTGGACTGTGGCAGAAAACCAGAGCACCTGGAGGAAACCTAATAAGAACCTACAAACTCTGGGAAGATAGTACCCCAGGAATTGCACCTGTGGCCCCAGTGCTGCAAAGTAGCAATGCTAAAAACTGCACCACCATACCACATCTCCCTGTTTTTTATTCATTTTTCTCTCTAATGAAATTAGACTGTTTCGTCTTGTATCCACTTGTTCTCCTCCCTTACACCCCTGTGTTGGAACGAGACTCCTAAGAGCACAGCAGCTGTTCAAAAACCTTCCTGCACCTCCACAGGGTTTGCTGGACTTTTGAATTGCATTTTTTAAAGTTGTAGTTTTCTGCTGGGTTTTGCATTGGTTTTGATTCAATTATTGTAAACTGTACTTGCACTGGTCATAGTTTGTGCAAAGCACTGAGAATGTTTCACCATAACAATAAATATGTAATAAAGATTCAGTTTAATCTGGGAGCTGAACTGTTTTATCAACAGCTTCTGTTTTATTTTGACTGGAAATGTTTATGATCTCTAAGGTGACTCATCTCTGTCTTTACATTATGTGTAGTTAAATACAACAAAACACATTTTTTTATTCCAATGAACAGAAACCCTCTTTACCTAAAGACATTTGTAGTCAACACAATAAAGTATGGAAACTCCTGTGCTGTGTCTAACTGACCTTCCCCATGTGTCTTATATGGTGATTGCTACTATGGAAGCTGAGAATCAATATGTTGACGAACATACAAAATGCTGCTAAATTTGATTGCTACAGTATATATTAACAGATTTCGTCTCTTAAACATTTCTCTCCTAATTATATATAACAAGAGAAGAATGTTACAGTAATGTAACCCAGAACTTCCCTGCTCAAACTCCAAAACGAGGGGGCTGTCCTTTTGGTGTAATGAGTCTGGCACTTGTCTAAACTGCAATTTGAGCTGATAAAAAACCCACAATTGACTTTAATACTGCATAAGGAAAAGCGATTGTCTATATGCCAAGAATAAAATAGAATTGTTTTTCAAGACAAGAATATATATCTAATTTTAAAAAAACACATTGGGTTTTAGCCTTGTTCTGACAAAGAGATTGTTTAAAAACTTTCTCTTTTGCTATATGCTAATAAAATTAGTGGACAAATAATGTAAACACCAATACATTTTACACGACATTTTAAAAGGTACTGAATTTAACCATAGTGTCTACCAACATTTGGAATAATGCAGGTGGGATATGGCACCATTCTTCCATGAGAAGGTCATGTCAATTCAATTCAAGTTAATTTTATATAGCACCTTTCACAGCAAGGTTGCCCCATGGTGCCTAACAAAGCAAGTGACCGTACATGTTGTGAAATAGTTGATACTGTTGGAAAATGGTGTTAGCCATCTATTCGTCCATAGTGACTAGCATTAACCTTGTCCAGCATAATAACAGAACCATCAGATCCCTTCACTGGAACCAAAACTCAAGTCTGTACAATTCTTAAATTTGGTGCCACATGTTTACTTCTATGTTTGTTGAGTACATACACGATGTGGGATGATTCAACAGACCATATTGCATTTCTACACTTCATAGTCCACTGGTATTCCATTGCTTGTGTTTTTTGCTGTACTGCACTCACAAACATGATGGTGTGATGGGATGAATGCACTGTGCATTGTAACCCAACAAGGGTGCTCTGGGAGTGGACCATTTTTGTGGAAACGGGCAGTCAGTCCGTTGATCTGTAGATGAGCACTTAATTAACCTTGCACTTCAAATTAATTTATTGATATTTTAGTACTGGAGTGTGCTCTTCTGTCTGTTTTTGCCCTTTGCTGATAAGGTCTTTAACTGAAATTGAAAAAAATATTCTGACCACCTTAATCACAATAATAATAATAATAATAATTTGTAATTTCTTACACTTATAGCAATTATAGCTTATCATTTATAGCACTTTTCTGGACACTCCACTCGAAGTGCTTTACAGGTAATGGGGATTCCCTTCCACCACCACCAATGTGCAGCATCCACTTGGATGATGCGACGGCAGTCATAGTGTGCCAGAACACTCACCACAAATCAGATATCAGTGGGGAGGAGAGCAGAGTAATGAAGCCAATTCATAGATGGGGATTATTAGGAAGC